GCGCAGTACGGTATAGCATACTAAATTCCAGAACCAAACTATGTGCTGAGTAGCACAGACCATGAGAACAATAATGGGACCCACGGTTATCGCACTCTTCAGCATCGACGATTCCGCCGAAGAAGACCGGTCAACAAGCTGATTCGTTGAATCTATGAAATTGTCAACTGATACACTTGATATCGTCATTCATGTGATGCGTATGCACTGGATCTCGTGCTGCCNTGAAGGAGCGAATGGGGGAGGGGGCGGAATGTTTACATGAAACTTCAAACACTGCAGATGATGGAGAAATGTTGTATGATGGCTTCTGAGATATTGTGCGCCTATAAAGCGAAAAGGGAGACTCGAATAAAAACGAGTTCTGAGAATAGCAAATTGAACACTACGTGATTCATGTTGACGTTGAAAACATTGATCTGAATCAGCATTTCGAAGCGAACATCGTCATGATGGGTCTGGACTAAATATATATATTTTGAATGCACCCTGAGTAATGGATCGGGGAGAATTATCAGCCAATGGCTAGTGAGCTATTCATACTTGCAGGTTTCCGTTGCGGAATTCCAATGCAGGATTCCGTTGCACATAGGATCAGATTTCGCTCCCGTAACAGACTAGCAGGTTACAAGATGTAAGCAAAGCGAGTACGCTGCTGTTCACTTATAATAGAGTACAACATTTTAGCTGTTGTTCTGTGGGATTAAATTCATGCAATGTCCAGCCTGCGGCCCCAATGGAAAACCCATTGAAAATATGGGTCATACGTTTTCCCCAGTTCTACAGGATTTCATGTTTTACCGGTCAAAGAGTGAACTAGTAACCACCCTTAAGCGAGAATGGACAAATATTGACTGAGGAACATTCATAGTTTTTGTAAAAATATGCTCGGATAAATCGGGGTATTCAAACAGAACGACGTTTACCCACGACTTGAATTCTTTATTATAGCCTTCCAGATGAGGGAGTGTGCGCGTGCGCTGCTTTTGTCACATCGTTTTGTGCAATCCTATTAACATACGTGCATTGTAGTTGCATGTTAAAAGTAGGTATGCTCTAGTATAGTGTGTTTAGGTCGTCTCGGTTTCGTCAAGAAAAACATGCAAAAATACGCGGAAAGATTAATGGCAGGCTTACACTTTTGTTACCCACTATATTCAGCAATCAGTCTTTGGAAGTAAAAAGTTGGGTGGCAGAGAAAACCATAGGAAAAAATACAAATAGGAGAATAAAGGATGAATTTTAATCCCGATCATCCTGCACCATTACCGATTCAGTAAAGAGTTTTACGCGGTGTATACCAGTTGCAGCTGTATAGACAAATTTTTTCAGGATATTGAACAGTGGATCACATTGTCAGTTTTATTCCCGGCCACTTTTATTGGCGTAACTAATTCACAGTAAGCTTGTCCACCTCTATCAGCCAATTCAGTCTTCAGAGTGGAAGATTTTGCTGTTCGGGTTCATAAATCTCAAATGGGAACCATTCTAAGACCAATCACGGTACTTAGATTCAACAGGCATGGTCATACCTTTGGATGGGAAACACTACCTAGCGGATCGCAGCGCACCAGCGATCACGTCGCATCAGAATGTGGTTTACTCGTAACGAGATGAAATTTCTATTTTAATAATTAGTTGTCATGCCTTGACAGTGCAGTACAGAGCACGATTGTTTCCGTACTGATGAAAAACAAAACGTTTTGACAGCAGTCATGTGAGCAATCAAATGCTCGATTGGGGAAACAGAATCAGCGACCTCAGTCACATTTACTCATCCATGATTGAATGCCCCAGGTTAATATGAAACAGCTTATATGTTAGGTTTTCGATTCACTTTGCACAACCATTAGTCATGAGCTTTCGAGCTGCGGTTTTGGTAGCTGTCTTTCGGCTGCCCAAGAGGAAGAAAGAATATTGGAATGTTGGAAACAGAATGAAGGCGAAAATAGAGAATTCACGTGGACTAAGGCTGCAAGGACAATGAGTAGATGCACGCGTGCCACTGTCTGCGGCGCAGCCATATCACTCGATGTCTCTAACCACCGTCTGCGTCGATCCCTAGGTCTCCATTCACAAGGGCTAACACAAACTACATGTTCAAGTTCCTGGATTAGGGTTTTTGTACCCTCGTGATGGGTCTTAGTTTGACCGTGATGGAGTTTTTACCACCAACTAGCTACCTTGGCAAACATCGCGTATCGCAGTAACCTACTTGTTGACATACATAACACATGCCCACCCAGCGTATTCTATAGAAATCAAGCACTTGCGGTAGTGGGCGACTGCTACAGCACTGAAATTATCCAGGTCCCAACCCCACCCTAACCGGTGAATTAATCGATCAAGTGGACAAATTTTGTTATGTGGACAGTCGTATCACTCCCTGTGAACACACACAGTGGGCTCCATTGGCATTTTTGAGAGCGATATATATGTGGCGCCGTCATGACATCATGCCTTCTACGAAGCGTTGAGTGTACGCTGCAGCAGTTCGACCAATTCTGCTATTCAGCGCAGAAAACAGGTTCCCTGAATAGTTTAAAAAAATAAATAGTTTAAATAGTTTAATAAACCAATAACGGTGGGCAAGTTGGAGATATAATGAACCAAATGGGCTACAAGACAACCGTCCAGCTTTGAAATATAAATGATCATCTCTTCATGTTACACATTCACTTGTGTGTCTTATACTTATCCAACACAGCTTATAAATTTATCATTCACTGGATATGCCACACTGATAAAAGGGAAAGAAGGATGTCATAAAGGGTGTTTATTCTGGTTGCAAAACCGGAATAAATTAGCCAATGCTGTCCAATACGGTCTCATTGGACGATTTCACTTTTTCTGCACGTACAAGTGCCTGGAATGTTTGAAAGCGGTTTATCTCATCAGTAGAGACGTTCTATTGTCCAAACTTTGCGATCTGTTTGATTTCGGTGTAGGAAATACCTCACGTGGTGGAGCAAAAAATGATAGATAATTTGGTGGGGGCATTACGGAAAGTGGTGGATAGTTGTAGGGAATAACTGGTCCACCACTTTGAGGAATAACACCGGGATCCATGGTATTCATCCAAACCGGAGGTATCCAAGCGGGCACGTTCTGAGCAGTTTGCATAAACCAGGTGGTTGAATTAAATGGTAGTTGTCGAGTCCGGAAATCCAAATGGATTGCATCACAGGGAACTGTCATATTCGATACCGGTGGTCCGACTGAAACCCAGAATGAATCATTTGGCACACCAGACCACCGGTATTGTGGACGCTGTGTGGGAATTAATGTCGTGTTACACCCCACGGTTACATCAGGTTGATTTTCAGTATCTTTCCCGTTCCGGTGCTCCTCGTACGGAATTATATCGTCCGACAACTCTGTTTTTCTTGTTGGTGATTCAAGACAGAAATTTTGTAGATCTTTCTCTAAACTTCGAAATGACGAGTCGCCAAGCAAATCCGATGTCTCAGCCAGAGCTAGGATGTTCGCGGTTCCCATCGAACTTGTTAGATCAGACTTATCTGGATCCAAATCAACGTGTGTTACCTTTTGTGTATTCATTTTCTTCGTTGATTTATTTGAGTTCAATGCCATGCGTTGTCGCAAGCGGAACTGTTCCGTGTAAGTGTTATGTCGGTTGTGTTCATTTGTTACCATTTGAATATCACCGCCGTTACATGGTTTTACGATTCCATGAGCTAGTTGTCGATAGGCGGCCGAAGACTGGGGAAGAATGGACGAAGGTAGTGACCTTTTTATCTCACTTATATTACGCGTTACAATAGTGCGTGTCTGGTACTGATGGGTTTTTAACGTACGAGTATGGTTTCCCGGCGGACGGTGAGTCGTATGGTTATTTTCGCAAACAGGGGGTAAAGCTGCATTGGGTCCATGTAGCTTGGGTGCATAAATACTTTTCTGTTTCCACTTACATGCAGAAGTTACTTGTCGTTGGCATAAATCAATTCGGCGGTACGTCTGTTTCTTGGTCTGAGAACTTTGTGTGCGACTGTTGGAAATTTGCTTCTTAACAGTAATGCAAGGTCTTATCGATGTCTCAGACGGTTGACATGAAGGAGCAGTTGAAATGGGGACAAATATATTCAGACTATTGACGGAGTTCGTGGGTGAAGTTCTAGTCGATACGGATGAATTCATTTGGACTGAAAAATCTTTTCCTGTTTCCATTGTCAATTGTTCTTCAGTTTCTATTTTTTCGGAACATCTGGACTCCGTTTCTTTGCTCTTTTTCGTATAAGTTGCAT